AGTGCAAACAAAGAAAAGCAAAAACAGCTTTAAATTGCACCAATACAGTATGACCTGGACATATTTGCCTCCCAGCAGGCAACCACGAAACACAGTTTCTTAAGGCTTAATTGTTTGTTAGAAAAAGATGATTATTTCTATTTCTAAATATGCCTAATAACTGTTTATCTCTGTCCTAATGAAGAGGTAAGGACAACAAAAATGAATGAACTGAACTGCTCACAGAATTGTTAGTTTTGCGGCTAGATGATGAAGAATTTCTACTCTAGTGACAGGACTCATACACCCAGAAATTCCCAAGAAGGCTGCTCATGCCCTTGTAGAGACTTTACACCTGCACAACCAGGCCTCCTCTGCAGACGACGAGGTGGGGAGTTTGCAGGCCACAGGCAGGGACGGTGACAGCAGAGGGCCCCACCTACGTGACCATAAACCACAAGCCCAAAGGCTGTCAGCATTCTTATAGAAATAATCGATTTATCTATCACTCATGTACTGACTCACTTCTTTAGCACACATTTATGAAACATGGGCTACATGCCAGTCACCACAGGGAGGGGGTGGGCACAAGGACCATCTGCAAAGCAGCCCCTACTCCCCTGGAGCCACACAGGATGGGAGAACCAGGGCTGACACACGGAATGGGTGTAAAAGGCAGAGGCTGGAGAGTGCTCCAGCTTTTCANTAACTTTTTCTGGAGACGTTCCTGGCTGTGGAGAGAAGCTTTCAGACTTCCACTCTCGCTTATCCCAAAGCAGACATTGGATCCACTGGAACTGTACTGTATAGTTCACTGCCTTAGCTAAGTACTTGTTTGAAGGTTTTCTGTCATAGTCGGCATCTAATAAGGATAAATATCCCACTTTGGCATCTAAAAAGGGAAAAAATAAATAAGAAATACAACCTGAAGTTTGCTAAAGGCATCCTCTGTCCCACAGACAGAGTAGCAAGCAGGTGGGGATGAGAAGCAGGAGACGGGCAGCAACTTCTGGCCATTTCCTCTCTCCAGAGCATTTAAACTGTGAGTTAAATGCGTCCAGTCACAGCTCCCAGCTGTGACTTGGGAACGGCAGCGTGTGGGGAAGGAAAACAGTGTTTCTAGGGCTTCTTATGTTTCAAGTCTGTCCTGACACCCTGAACTGGTCTCCCTACGGCCATAGTGGAATGGAAGAGAGCTGACTCAGTTTCTCCATCTGCCATTCAAGCCCACTTCCTGTTCCTCCCCCGTTCCATCAGCCAGGCTCTCAAAAATCAGCATGTCCTAAGTCTGTACTCATCCTGGTAGGGATGGCACAATGACCCAGGTGGTTTAGCCTATCATTTTTGGATAATTTTTATGTTTGGAAGCAAAAATATTTAACATTCCATTTGCCTAAAATTTGCCCCTAAGACTTTAATAAGTGGTGTTGGGACAACTAGATATTAGCCATTTGTAAAAATACAAAATTAGACCCAAAGTTCTTGCCATATACAGTAATAAACATGAATTGATGAGGGATTTAAGTATAGAAAATTAAATTATACAAGTACTAAAAAAAATATGAACGACTTATTGCAGAACTTGTATGTAAGGAATAAATTTCTAACTATGGCCCAAAATCTAGGAATCATACAAGAAAATGTTGATAAATATTACCATTAAAAATTTTTTTTGCAAGGCAAAAATCTCAATAAAAATAAAGCAAAAAGTAAGATGAACTGAAAAACAAATTTGCAATTTATATTACAAAAAGTAGCAAATAGCCCTAATATATAAAGAGCTCTTTTAAAAAATCAAGAAAAAACAAACACAATAGAAAAAATACATATACAGGAAAAAGATGAGGATGTGGAAAAAGGGTGCCCTCGTACACTGCTGGTGGGAGTGTAAATTAGTACAGCCATTATAGAAAACAGTGTGGAGGTTCCTCAAAATATTGAAAATAGAACAGGATCCAGCAATCCCACTTCTGGGTATACATCTAAAGGAAATGAAATCAGTGTGTGGAAGAGACACCTGCATTCCCATGTTCATTGCAGCATTANAAAGGAAATGAAATCAGTGTGTGGAAGAGACACCTGCATTCCCATGTTCATTGCAGCATTACTCACAATAGCCAAGACAGGGAATCAACCTAAGTGTCCGTCAACAAATGAATAGATAAAGAAAATGTGGTATATACATAATGGAATTCTATTCAGCCTTAAAAAAAAAGAAGGAAATTCCATCATTTGAGACAACATGAATGAGCCTGGAGGACATTATGCTAAGTGAAATAAGCCAGGCACAGAAAGACAAATACCGCATAATCTCACTTACATCTGGAATCTAAAGAGAAGTCAAAAATCATAAAAGCTGAGAACAGGGGCTGCAGTGGAGAGGGGACATACTGGGGAGATGCTGGTCGAAGGATGCAATATTTCAGTGAGACAGAAGCAATGAGCTCAGGAGATCTATCGTACAACATGGTGACTGTAGTTAATAACAGTGCACTGTATTCTTGAAAATCACTAAGAGAGTAAATTTCAAATGCTTTTTTCACACAAGAAAATGATAAGTATGTGAGACAATACATTAATTAGCTTGATTTAGCCATTCCACATGCATACATTTTTAAAACCTCTCTTTGTACACCATAAATATATGTAATTTTTGTCATTTTAAAAATAAATAAAAACATATGAAAATTTCAATTTAATTCATATAAAATGCATATGAAAAACTACCATTTCTCAATTATCTGACTGGTAAAGTTCAATACCTTGAAAATACAATCTGTTGGCAAACCTGTGGGAAACAGGCACTCATTACCAAAACCACACATGCATTTATTGTTCAACCCAGAAATACTATATCTAAGAATTTAACTTGAACATGTACTCCTCCCCCTAAATGTAATACAGTATATGCACATAGCAGACTGGCTGAATTAACCATCATATATCTATACAGTGGAGAAGCACAGGGCAGCAAAAAATAATGAAGATATATATGGAGTAATTTCTAAACATATAATTTAACTAAGAAAAGCACAGTGCAAAAGAGTGTAAGAAATAAGGGAAAATATGTGTGTGTGTGTGTGTGTTTATTTTCCCAGAAAGAAACACTGAAAAAATAAAGAACTAATGAAAAACAATGACCTATAAGGAACAGGTGACAACAGGGTAGAGGTGACAAGGTTTAACTCTGAGTATACACATTTTTAAATACGGTTTAAGCATTTGAACAATGCAAATATCTCACATATTCAAAAGATAAAATTAAATAAAAATAAACAGATAAAAGTAAGCCCTAACATTAAACACATTCAGAAAAAAACAGTGAACCCGACTACATACAAAATTGATAGGAAAATTCCACACAAAGAAAAGAACTGATTCGAATAACTTTGCCTGTATGCTCTTAGTGCTATATAGCCTAGGAATGTAAAGTCAAAACTAAAAAAATAACAGAAGAGGAAAGAAATACTGAACTTTACCTGGTAGGTTTGTTATTGGTAGGGTTACAGGCGCTTTAATTCTGAGAGTACTCTACGTGCACCACAGGATAGAGCAAAATGAGAACAGGGCACATTCCTGGGAAGCAGAGCTCTGGCTGTGGGAGAACGGGGATCCGAGCATGCGGTGGAGGACGTGAGAAGGAACAAGGGGTGTCGGATCTGACTCGGGGACATGAGCATGAGCCTGTTTTACACACACACACACACACACACACACACAGTTGTTATCAGTAATGCCCCAATTGCAACGAGGCCATTTGGTGCCCAGTTCTCATGTCTAAACGTCACTCCACATCGGGGAGCTCAGGCTCACTGAAGAGACAGCCGGCTCCAGGGACAGTCAGGCCAAGTGCAAGGCTAGCAGGGCGCACAGGCATCCCAGGAAGCAAGGAGCGCTTGACACTCACCATGTCGTGCCAAAACAATTCAGGGGTGCCCTCGCTGGAACAATTTGATCATCAAGAAGAAAAATGATAAAAATGAACTGAACACATTGAATTTTGGGGAAACACTATGTACCATAGAGACAAGAGAGCAGAAATGAGGAGGGAGAGGGACAGAGCTCTTCTTGACTGAAGAGCACAGCTAGCTCAGGATAGAACTGTAAAATCACTACTCCGTTCTGTCGCTTGCTGTGCATCGCCAGCAGAGGCTTAAAACTATGGGGTGAAAGTTAGCAGCGAAGAGAAGATGCTCAGCTCACAAATATCACCTCGTGGATCACTTATTAACTATAAAGGGGAAAATGTCCTGTTAAAAGGGACAGACTGGAGGTTCACTCCTCCAGCAAATTACTAAAGTGAGCATGGCCTTGGAGTATGCTGCCAAACCTCTGTAAACTGAACCTAATCATGAGAAACACTCAGGCAATTCCAGGATGTGAGACATTCAAAAATAACTGACCTGGACTCGTAAAAGAGTCGGTGTCATCAAAAAAAGGCAAAAGAATGGAGAGGGTGCTCTAGATTTTAAAGGCACTACAAAACATGGCAATGAAATGCATCATGAACTTTGACTTAATTCTGAATAAAAAACATAAAGAGCTATAGAAAGCATAGGGGGATTGCAAAAATTTACACATAGACCACAGAGTAGATATTCTTGAATGAATGTTGCTTCTGTTTCGTTACGGCAGTGGTACTGAGTTCTGAAGGAAAATGCCCCAGCTTTGATGAGAAGTAAGTTGAAGTGTTAAGGTGGAGTGTCATGGGGTACACAACTCCCTCCAGTGGCTCGTCCTCCCCCCGCAAAAAGCCCACTCGACACACACGCACGCATGAAGATAAAGCGAAGGCGACGAAATGTCAACGAATGTGAACTTAGCTGAAATGGATACAGGTATTTGTTGCGCTTTTTTTTTCCTACTCTTCTGTTAGTTTGAAATTTTTCACAATAAATAATAATAATAATTAAAGCAAAAATTTTTTAATTGCCATTGAGAATTTGAATTTGATTAACGATATGTTCTGATCCATTTTCTAAAGAAACAAATAGCTATGAAGTGATTGGTCCTTGGAGGAAAATATATACTGGGATATTAAATAGTTATAGCTAAAAAATCATATCACAGTAAAAATGTAGAGACAATGGGAATGGACAATTCACCTGACAGTCAGAAGCCAACTTCTCCTTAGAAGGGCCACCACCTTCCGGAAACCAGCTAACAGCCTGTGTGGGTTCACTTAAGCACACTGAGCTTCAGCTTCTTGCTTTTCAGGGAGGTCTCTGAGGCTCGGGAGCCAAGCAACCAGGGACGAGCCCCACACCCAACACTCTCTGCCGACTCCAGGGTGGCACTGGGCCCCATGCTGCTGCCAGTGGGAGCCCTCTAAGGGGGCCTGTCCTCTCTGCTCTCATGGGAAATGCAAAGAAGCCTCGAAGTCATGATCTCTGAAAACTTGAGGTGCTGTAGGCACAGAGGGCTAATGAACTCCTAGGGACAGGTACGCTAAGAGAGGACAGCTGAGGAAAGAAGAGAGACCTACAGGCAAAGACAACAGCCTGAGCACACACAGAACCATGAGAAATAGGAGGAGATGGGACAAATGGGCGGGACCCGTAAACAGGTGCTTGTCCCCAACAGCACTTCCTAACGAGGACTGTACTTCATTATGGGGTGGTTTCCACAGGTGTAGGCTACTGTGAAACAGCCTGCATATAAGTAGGCAGAGGAATGACTTTGATGTTTTGTCATGAATAAAGAAAAACGTTACAGCCAGTGTTTTTATCACATAAACAGAATGAAAATTAAAAGATAGCTTGTCCACTGACCTTTCTGTGAAACAGCAGGAACATACATTTGTATGATGTGCTCATCCCAGAAGCAGATCTGTTTCACAAGAAAATCAGAGGGAGTGGGTTTCTCTGAGAATCTAGGAGACAAAAACAAAGTAGGGATGTCTGATTTTGTTCTCTCTCAAAGACTCAGTCATACAATTTGTGCAAAACCTTCTTTTCACTGCAAGGAGGTAGCCTGGGACTGAAGAGAGCTGATGCGCTTATTCCACGGCACCACCTGGTCTTTCAATAAAAACTACCACTTTCATCCCTCATTTCATTAAAAAATCAAAACTTCCATAAAAAACAAGAACAAGAATAAATGGCACAGTTTGCAGGAATAAAACAAACAGCGCGGGCCCCACATGCTGAGACAGGGGCAGGACCACACCCACCGGCGCTGCATTCCTGCTTTACTGTAACCCGGTAGCAGATAAAGGATAACAAGCACAAAGCATTCAGACTAAGACGTGTCTCAGAACTGATCTGCCTTCCTGTGTGTGACTTACAGAATTAAGTTAAAATCCACACTCTAGGGCTGGCCCGGTGGCGCACTGCTACAGTGCGCCGCTTGGGAGCATGGCGGCGCTCCTGCCGAGGGTTTGGATCCCACATACAGACCGGCCGCTCACTGGCTGAGCGAGGTGCGGGCGCAACACCGAGGGTTGCGATCCCGTTGCCAGTCCGGTCCGGTACGGGTGCGACACTGAGGGTTGCGATCCGTTGCTGGACACGAAAAAAGACAAAAAAAAAAAAATCCACACTCTAAGCAAACATACACTTTCAGATATTTAACGACTTCATTCATTTGGCAGAGTGAGAGTCGAGCTAACAAGGAGAGATGAAAAACCACGTGCTCACAGCACCAGCACAAGACACAACCTCGCTCACAGGCAACGGGACCGCTAGAACTTTTGTCAGGCCCCTGAAATCCAAGAGGACTCAGAGAGAAGAAATGAGCAGGACTATGCCCAGCCAGACCTACCACGACCTACACAAACTGGTAGTTTCCATCAGCTCTTTTACTGTGTGATTCCAAAGAATCTTTTCCATATTTGCTAATTTAGCCCTCTTATGTAATTCAGTCACAAAATGGGGCCCTCCTAAGTCTCACTAACTCAACATCACTGAGAAGGATGGTTTTTTGTCAAATCTCCTTAGATGTGTATATTTAAACAAATTTTAGCCTTTGGAAAAAAATAAAAATAAAAAATAGTAATTCTGGCCCAGATCTATACTGTGAGAGAGAATTAGATTCCTAAATGAGATCATATGTATTATTACTAACAACTCAGATGTTTCTCACTCCAATAAACAGGCAGGAATCCAACCTCGAAAAAAAAAAGAACAAAATAAGGAAGCTTATTGACTGAACAGCAGACTATATAACATAATTGCTTTAGACAATGAGTCTCATTATCGCTTTAAAAACACAATTTAATTCATTACTTTTTTCACAAAACATTCTTAAGGAGAACAAAATAAGGAAGCTTATTGACTGAACAGCAGACTATATAACATAATTGCTTTAGACAATGAGCCTCATTATCGCTTTAAAAACACAATTTAATTCATTACTTTTTTCACAAAACATTCTTAAGGACGATGTATGTCTTGCTCCAATCTCATTCCCCTTGTAGCTGTCACTCGCAACACACCTTACTAGCAGCATGATGGGAAATGCTCTTGCAAAGGGCTTGGTAAATTCGATTCGTATCTGTAGAGATTCCTGGGGGTTTTCAGAAAGCTCAGTGAACTGATGGAAATTTACTTTATCCCGAAGCAATACAAACGTCGTTTCATTTCTCCTATTATCCTGCCATCAAAAGGAAAATAGGTTAAGCAAAATTTGCCTTTGGAAAAGTAAACGCATTAAAAATCAGCCGGCCCAGCCTAAATGAAGCAGAGATAGTGGGACAGGCTCTCCTTACTGGGCTGTCTTCCTCCCCAAACTCGACAGTCACAGGTCTCCTTAGCCGCTGTCTGTTGATGGGCCTTCGGCTAGAGCAGTTGTAGAGCGTGAGGTCAACAATTCCACCAACCTTGGGAAACAAAGACCACCTCAGAGCAATGACAGCCAATGGCTGACTTAACCGAGAACAGCAGGAAACTAAAGAATAGTGAGGCTACTACTCCAGTTATGTCAAACTATGTACTTCATATTAGAGGACAGCACAGAAAAACAAAACTAGTTTTATTAGTTAGGATGGCAGGACGTGGGGTAAATTTAATGCTTCACTTATATTACTCTTATTAAAATTAATTTTTTTAAGTTTTAAAAATTTTTGACTTTAAAAGCTCTTACAAAAAGAAATATCTGCTCAGTGTGGATAATCAGGAAGGTATTGAAAGGTATACAGAAGAGTGAAGGACTGCTTGACTATAATCCCACTGCTCAGAGAAATCGTATTTGGGGATGTTGCATTCTAAACTTTCTCTACGTATTGTGTACACACTGGGCAGACAATTCAGTCTTCTAAATTTTTTGCATAAAGTCTTCCAAAGTCACTAAAATTCTGATTGTCATAATTTCAATTGGTTATACATGAATTATCACAATTCATTTAAATGACCAGTGAACTTTATCCCTGTGTTGAACATTTAGGTACATTTCTATTGGGGTTATCATAAATAATGTTGCTTTGAATAAATAAACCAAAACTCTTACTTTGTGTTTTTTTGTTTCTTTCTTTCATTTACCTATTTATTGTCTCAATCCCTCCGTGAAATCTTGCAAACCAAATCTAGTTTACTCATTATTGTATAATGAACATCAAACTCAGCACTTAACACACAATTGACATCAAATAACTCACAGACATTGAAGGAATAAAACACTAGATTGACGGGGAAAAAAATCAGGATGGATAAAGGGAAATATCACAAAGGACAAGGTAACCTACAATGATAAAAACTCTTACTTTGAATAAACCTTTCCTCATTTCCTTGGGGTAGATTCCTAGAATGTAACAACTGGGCCCAGGTTCTTAAAGCTCCTGGTGCCTATTGACAAAGTGCTTCCAGAAAGTTATACCAACTGTCACCTGGGTTCACTCACTACACCTCCACAAGTGGTAAGTATTTTTAAATAATTGCACTTTTGTAAGTTAAAAAAAAATCATTTTATTTTTGATTTCTTTATTGCTTGCTAGAGCTTTTTTCATATGCTGATTAGCCATTTCTATTTCCCTAAAAAATAAAAAAGCAAAGGCTTTATAAGATGAGCATTTTTTGACCAAAATAAGATGTACATCATTAATTTGTACGTTCATTCATCAGACATTTACTGTGTGCCCAAATGGGCCAGGTACTTGAGCCTGGACTGGGGGTCTGGGGATAACAGAATTCAGAGAACACACGCTCTCTCTACCTTTCTAAACTCACAGCGATCCTGGATCATTCTCATGGATTCTGAATGTGGACGATGAAATGCATGTTCACAAATTGCCACATGGCTGGGACACTCCTCTCTGACTTCTCCATCTTAGCATCCCCCTTTCACTCCAGTCCTCTCTTCTGCCCATCCTCCTAGGGACCCCAGCTGGTTCAGCCTAGCTGTTCCTCTCAGGTGAGCATGGAGGACAAGACCGAAGCCCAGCAAGCCCTTAGCAGCCCCTTCTCAAGAACACACAAACCTGACCAAGACATGATCAACCACAATGCCGGGAATAATCCCTGTGCCACATGCTCTGACCTACTCAAGCCTTCCATTCTCTGGCAATGGATTAAAAAAAGCCCCACTGGGGTCCAATTACACAGATACCAGTGACACCTCGTTTTGCTAAGATTTTTCTGGAGGGACTGATCTTCCAAGAGAAGTGGAGACAGCAATATGTTCTAAGTGGCTCCCCTCTTGGAACTGAAAAACAGGTGTGAACATGCCAACTTTTTTATCATTGAAGCCCAATTACTGCAAATTTGAAATGGCCATTGGAAGTGGCAGATTGTCTGCTGTCTTGTACCTGCCCGTGGGCACGTCCCCTGGGGTGCAGATTCCTCCTGAAGAGTATGAGCTGGCTAATGAAGCATGGGCTCTGCAACTCCACCCCAGCAGTACTGTGCCCGGCGACGTCACCAGGTAAATGCACCTGGATGGGGCCCAGGGTCTGCACGGAGTTCTGATGGTTGTGGTGAAGAAGGGTCCAGATCTCCATCCACTCAGTGCTAACGTGGAGCTGACGCTCATGGCTCAAGGAGAGACAGCCCTGAAACATGGAGCATGGGGAACTGAATGTTTACTATGCAAACGAGAAAACTGTCTTGAATCCAGACCAGGGGAAAGGTGAAGAGCAGTGGGCAGGACAGCCCGTCTCAAGTTAGACTGGATTCGTTCACCAAAGCAACGATTTTGATACAAGGCTGTAAATGGCAATTAACAGTAAAACACAAACTGTTTTGTTTTGACTTATCTTTCTATTAAATTTTATTCATTTTTGAACAATTGTTCTGCTTGTTGGGAGTTCTCAGCCCATCAAAAGGAAGTTTTAATACTATGATTATTTTTAAAATACGGCAACTTGACAGTTCACGTGAGCACAGTGTCTTAGGGCTTACTAGGGTAGATACTCAATAAATTCTTTTAAATGTGCTCACAGGGAATGACCGGTTGTTATTGCCAGATTCAGATAGAGTATTTCTTTATTTTCAAATTTCCCAAATATTACAGTAACTATCAGTTAAGTAAACCAGCAGGCCTGGACAGGAGTGATGACAAATTGGCAGGAGAGGAGAGACAAAAGACTGTCTATTAACTTTTCTGCTTCTTGAAAGCATGGGCCATTTCATATGGTGGAAAAAATAAATCTCAACAACAATTTCCTGAAGTTATCAGAGCAGAAATGAAATAAACTTTGGTATATTTCCAGCAGTTATATACCAGCAGGGCCACTTTTTAAATTAATGCACATAAGAAATCATTTGTATTACATCACATCATTCTTCAAGAAACAGAAAGTATCCTAAGAAGTAACGTTTCTGAATCAAACATTATCCCAAATATCTCAAATGAAAATCTACCAAAACACAAAAGGTTGGAATGGAAGCAAAATTTCACTGGAAACATAAGAGTACCGTGAAACATTTAAAATTCGAAATGAAAATTTCTAGATACGAAACTACCACCCAGAATAATAAACATAGTGCTTCAGAAACAAATTCTATTTTGGTTCTGAGAAATGATTACAAATACAGGTTAACGTCCTGAGAGAGGGAAACAGATGTGTTTTTGCAAGTGGAGAAAAATGTGACTCACCAGCAGTGAATCTGAGATGAGCTTAACTCCTTGTTCTTGTAGATAGTCCTCATTCCTCGATTTTTCTTGCTCAGAGGCTTCCCAGACTCCAGATATGAGATGGATGAGCTCAAGCCTCAGTCTTCTGTCAACCACAAAGCTCCCCAAGAACTGACCTTGAGCCAGGAGCGTCCGGGCGTACTTGAGGATGAGGACTGCACTCACGAAGCTCAACTACATGGAAAGAGAAGACGTAAACGCAGGGCTTCCTGGCACAGTGTGCACCGTGTATTTGCCCTCTTGTTTACCGCTGGGAATTAGAATTACTGAGCTGGTGGTCAAGAGAACTGATTCAAGTCCAGGTTTGGCCTCTGGGTGATTAATGGCCAACTTCCCAAGTAACATTTGCATTCTGACACTCAGCTTCCTGACCCATAAAATGACCTAAATAAATAAATAATGGTCACTAACGGCCCTTTATGTTTTAAGAAGTTACTTGGCTTGAACCCCAACAACCACTTTGCAAATCCCTCAGCCTCCTCCCAGGGCCATCTCTCTCCCCACCACTCATGGAAGTTCCACGCTTGAGCCACACTGAACCCCTGACTGTTCCCACATCATCGAGGCTTTTTCCTGCTGCCATACTTATTGCCAATGCCTGCAATACCTTTACCCTCTCTCTGCCTAGCAGACTCCTACTTTTCTCTCTCTTTTTCTCAACTTTTAACATGGACCATTTTCAAACATATGTGAAAGTAGAGGGAACAGTGGAGCGGCGTAGCATGCCCATCAGACAACTTTAACAATCGTCATTCACTGGTGATACTTTTCCTTCTATTCCCTATTCAACTTTTAAAAAATATTTAAAAGCAAACTTCAGATATTATTTTTAATCCGTGAATACTTTAGTATGTATTACAGATAAGGACTCTTTGTAAATGCATGCTTACAATGCCATTACCACATCTAACACAATTATGATTCTTTCCTATTTCATCTTTTAAAACAAACTTCAAATGTCCATGAGACAAAGCTGTGCCACTGCCTGTGTTTCTGCAGAATGTTGTCATTCTTCTAACCACAGAACTTAGCATATGTATTGAGTGCATCTGCTTCCACGTGTAACTTTACTCATCAGTGTCTAAAAGACAAGGACCAAAGCTTTTTCTTTTTTGTAGCTTAAAAAATGTGTGTTCAATGAAATAAAACAAAGATTCTATTTTCTGATAGTCATGCTTATTTAAAAAAATCGTGGTATAGAAATAACTTTTAAAATCAAATTGTTTCACCAACAATAAAATCAAACTAGTTTGAAAATACATTTAAACCGCCATTAAAGGGCCCATACCCTGAGGTAACATACTGTCAAAACAGAACTTAAAATTGAAAAAAAAATCTTTTATCTAAAACAAGTACTTTAAAGAACATACTATGCCCACTCTTCACACTGTCCACTTTTTAAGCCAAAAAATTTCAGAAATGGTTCCTTTAGAAATGACAACCACGTTCAATTTTATGTACCACTCTGAGCTAAGAACTGTGGCAGACCACAGGGTTCACAGATGCATGAGAGAGGGATGCTGGCAAGGATGGTTTGATCTCCACCAAATTCATCCCCATTCATGTCCTTGCTGGGAAATAACATCAATTCCCAGATCCCTTGAGTCCAGGTGAGGCCGTGTGACCAGTGCTCACCAGGGGCACAAGCAGAGGGAGGCCTGCCACTTCCAGGGCAACATTATCAATAGGCAATGTATCTTCTCCTCACTCTGTGCCCCTGACTTCCCCAACTTAGGAAGCCACAGAAGGGAGATGTGGGGGGCATGGAATGAAAGGAGCCAGAGTGTGAGTTACATGGGGAAGACCACCCACTGAACACCTGCACTGGAATGTGAGTGGATGAAGAACACAACTCTGCTGTGCTCAGCTACTGAGATTTCACGGTTATCTGTTGTAGCAGCTAATGTTACTTTAACTAATACAGTCTGTGTCTTTGGAGGCTAAGTAGTCTAAAGAGGAAGGAAGAAGGAGGAGGAAGGAGAAGGAGGTAGGAGGGAGGAGGAAGGAGCTCCACGTCAACACGCTGGGTTGGAGCAGGGCTACGGCCCCTGTGGAAACGCCAGGCAGGTAGTTACATGCACGGGGGAGTGTCTGAGAGAGGTTTTGGCTGAAGACAATAAAATGCAGAGTCATCGTCACATTGACTGATGAGATCACCCAGGGAGAAATACAGGCAGAGAAGCCCAGGAGGCCCATGACAGAGCCCCGAGGCGCTGACCACGTGAACACAGATGAAGAGCCAAGGTCAGTCAACAGGGCCAACCAAGAACCTGTGTCATGAAGCCGACTGATGAGATCACCCAGGGAGAAATACAGGCAGAGAAGCCCAGGAGGCCCATGACAGAGCCCCGAGGCGCTGACCACATGAACACAGATGAAGAGCCAAGGTCAGTCAACAGGGCCAACCAAGAACCTGTGTCATGAAGCCAAGAGCGTCCCCAAAAAGGGTGAGCCCCCACAGGCTGTCACTGGCAGGGAAAGAACAGTGCACAGAGGGTGTCCAGGGGACTTGGCCACACAGAAACCTTCAGCGACTTGGGCAGGGGCAGTTTCAGTGTGGAGATGAAGACAGAGGCCTGGTTTTGATCGTTTAAAAATGCATGAGACTCGGCAAATATAGACCACAGCAGTCTCAGGACTCACTTTCCAAACGCTTTGCTGTGGAGAGGAGCCTGGAAAGGAGGTCGTGGCTGGAGGAGGGTATGACTTCCCTGGAGGGGCTGTCAGGGATCACCCAGCAGAGGCAGGAGTGGAAGGAGCAGCAGAGAGAGGAAACTCCAGGAGGCGACTCAGGAGAAGGCAAGTGGGAGGGCACGGGCCACGCCTGCAGCCGAACCCATGGGGCTCCAGTCACGCAGACAGACGTGAGGGGCAGCGAGGGAGCCCTGGAGGGAATTTCCAAGGGATTCCCAGCACAAATGGAGGGGTGAGCCCTTGCTGGGAGTGGGGAAACTCCTTCCGTGGTGACAGAGTGTGGAAGACAGGTATGGCTAGATTTGCAGAAGGTGCATTTGCAGATTTAGGGAGGAGGAACTCTGATGGGCTCTCTCCCTGTCTCAAAGAACAACATGGTGCGGACGCCACTGGAGGGGGAAAGCGTGCCAGGGATGTGAGAAGAAATGAAGGAGTGAAGATGGGAAAGCCCAACACCAAGTATTGATAATAAAGAACAATCCCCCCACCAAAATTATTCATACATGGACAGTACTTGTTTTGATCCATTTCTACTTCAGGTTTCCAAATTTCTCTAGTAGGAAAGTCCTTCACCTATGATGTAAGACGAGCAATTCCATTCAGATGATTTCTTAGGAGAAAGTCATATTTCTAACCTAAATGTCAAAACATAACTCTGAACAGTGTGTTCTTCAAGAACTGATCACGGCCTTCATACTTATGCAAAAAAGCAGGAAAATACGATTGGAAAGAAATAGCACTCACCTTATTAGGGAAGCGTATGAGGTCCTTCAACATAAGAACAGAATCAACCATTTCTTCCTGGCCAGGAGAAGCAAGCGAACAAGTGAACAGACAATAGAAAAAAGAAAAGGAGAGGAGAGTTAGCTTACTCAGCTCAAAGTTACCGCTTGTGTAGAAACAGAGCACATCCATGCTTTTCAGCTAAGAGGCTGACTGCGGGTCAGGCCTTCTGTCAAGAGACCATTACCTTGTTCTCAGTGTTTCCTTCCTGTCCAGCATTTATGTGCCCCCTGGCCAGCCTCACCATACCCCATCAGAAAACTGAATGAGGGAAAAGGAAACAGGGGACAGAGCTAAGTGGAACTTCTTGAAAGAGGGTCAGAGTGAATGATGGAGGAAGAAAATACATTAGTTCAAGTGAAGTATCTCATCATGAAATAAGATATGTTCCCTGCAGATGTGACGATTATAAGATAAAAATTGCAGAACTGCTGTGAGATGGATGGCAATATCTGAATATATGGTCATTTCTCTAGAAATTGCACATAAACATGAACTCAACTCTCTATGATATCGTTGTTAACAAGATAAAATAGGATTGGATTACACAATTTTTACTTATAGGAATTTTAGCAGAATTATCTGTAATGATGACTGCCTTGTGTCATTCTCTCTTGTAAACCAGCAGCATTCATTTGTGAAACACATCAGCAGGCTGGAAAGGCCAAAGTGATGTATTAGAGCCAAGCAGGCCCCCCTGGTCTCATTTCCTGTCTGTGTCTCATAAACGGAGCACTTGCTGGTGAGCCAACAAGGCTCAGGCCCTGCTCCTTATTGCAGGTTAACAGATGCTGAACTCATCCTGCTCTGGGATCCTACCTGATCAGCAAATGCTAATTTGCATACTGAAGAAATTAATGCATCCTGCATTCGAGACCACTGGCCGCACGAGGCACTTCTGTCCTCCTCAGCCAGACGACTCAGTATCCTGGTCATCATGGTGATATAATTCCGGATTTCCATGTAACTCCCAATCAGCTGGAGGGTGGACAGGTTTTTCAGGCTGGAATTATATCTGAAGGAAACATAAGAGGTGTCATCATGATTGTTCCAACACACAGCAAAACTTTTTACCCTGCCAATCAAGAGTGGAATGGGATTTATTATAAAAATACTTCTTGGGTGTGTCAGGGAAGAAAAGGAGAGTTGGTCTGTGCAGAGGAAACTCTAAAAATTAGACACTGTAAGGCATAATACCAAAATTATACAGAAGTCCCTTTTATCAGAACTGAAAAAGGCACTAGAAGCCAAACAGACACTGACACAGAAGTACCATGGCAAATGAAGGGATGTGTCCAGAACCAAAGCCACCACCACAGGTACAGCAGGCTGATGTGTCACAAGCATCTGAATAACTGCAGTGGCCAAACCCATAATGGAGTGGACATCTGCAATGCACTTGTGGTGAGGTAAACCACAAAGTTAATGACTTCAGACTTCAATAACTGAGTATTTACTTACTTATTTACAAATAGCATAGTTCACTTGTTAGCACTTGGAAGGGCAACATGATATCAGAGAAAGAGCCCTGTGCATAAGGCCAAAGACCAGCTCCAGCCCTCACCCTGCAGTTTTTTTGCCATGTGACCTCAAGGACATCGTTTAACAGAACAATGGAGCCTCGGTCTCCAAATGGGTAAAATAGAAATTTTTATCTGAACACACCACACAGGGTCATTGCGAGAAGTCAATAAATTAATTAGAAATCAATTTTTAATTAACTAGAAAATACATTCTGGGCTTTGAAGCACATCTGCGTAAGAACACCCTTGACCAAGAAGTGATTTATACAATCAAGGCCCCAGGTAGCCAGGCTGAAGATAAAAACAAACAAACAAATCTCAGCAGCAACACCACAGGCCACACAATGAGGGGAAACATACCCCAAGGAATCAGTCTTGCCAAGTCAATAAACATGAACAAATGACCAAACAAACTAAAAGAATGACAACAAGCCCAGGAAAAGGGGTAGACCGATACCAGAATGGCTACAATGTTATCTAAAATGTCTACTTTTCAATGAAAAATTATGAGACATCCAAAGAAATACCAAGTGCAATCCAAACCAAGGAAAGATAAGCAGGCGATAGAAATTGTTTTTGAGGGGAACCCAAGTGTTGAACTTAGCAAAGACTTCACAGCAACTATGATAAACATGTCCAAAGAACTAAAGGTAATCTTATTTTTAGAAATTAAAAGAAGGTATAACAATGACTAATCAAATAGAAAATATCAATAAAGAGAGAGAAACTATGAATTTATAAGTAATAAAATAAACCAATGGAAATTCTACTGTTGCAGGTGCAATAATAAAAATTCAAGCAAGAGGCTCAACAGTAGATTTGAGAAAATGAAGAATCTGTGACCTGGAAGATGGAGCAATAGAGCCTATAAAGAACAGAAAGAAAAAAGTAGGAAGAAAATGAACAGTGACTCAGAAAAATGTTGGACATCATCAAGTTCATAAATTACATCTTTATTTTTCTTTCTTAACTTATTTAAAAAGACATTGCATAAAACAATGTCTATAAAATTGTACTGTTGGGTCTAAAACACATAGAAACATAATATAACAATAACAACATGAGGAACAGGGGAGAGAATGAGCTGTGTTGGAATAAGAAAATGACACTCTATGGTAATTTGAACCCACAGGAAGATATGAAGACAATCAAAATACTAAATAGGAAAATTAGTATACATTAAAAAACTTCTAGAAATATATTTGTGTTTTCCTTTCTTCTCTAGTTTCTTTAAGACAGAAGATTATGTAAAACAATAACTACAATGTATTGTTCGGTTTGTAACATATATAGATATAATATGGATGATAACAATAACACAAAAAGAGAAGAGGAAATAGAGCTATATAGGAATAAAGTTTCTACATTTTACTGAAATTGGTTTAGTATAAATTTGAAGCAGTTTCTAGTAAGTTAAGTTATATATCGTAAGCCCTAGAGCAACAACTAAGAAAACAGCTTTAAAATGTACTTAAAAATCATTTAAGGAATTAAAATGGTATACTAGAAAATATTCACTTAAGGTAAAAGGACGTAATAAATGAAGAACAGAGGAACAAAGTAATCATGAGACGTATAGAAAACAAAAGCAAAATGGCATACATAAATTGAACCATATCAATAATAACATTAAATGTGAATGGATTACACAATCTAATCAAAAGGCAGAGATTGTAAGACTGGATACAAAAACAAGATCCAACTATATGCCATCTACTGGAGGCACACTTCGGGTTGAAGGATAAAATTAGGTTGAAAATAAAAGAATGGAAAAAGATATACATGCATACAGTAACCATAAGGCACTTATAGTGGTTATATTTACATAAGACAAAAAAGAAATTAAGGAATTAAATTAGAAATTAATGACAAAAAGAATTTTGCAAATTAACAAATATGAGAAAAATAAACACACTCCTAAAAAATCAGTATTTCAAAGAAAAAATCTCAAGGGAAATTGCAAAATCGTTGGAGATAAATAAATGGGCAAATTAACAAATATGAGGAAAATAAACACACTCCTAAACAATCAGTATTTCAAAGAAAAAATCTCAAGGGAAATTGCAAAATCGTTGGAGATAAATAAATGAAAACACAACATTCCAAAACATGTGGGATGCAGCTAAAGCAATGCTTGCTGGAAATTTATATCTTTAAATGCCTATAAAGAAGAAGATTCCAAATCAATAACCTAACTTTCTACCATAGAGAACAAAAAAAGAAGAGCAAAATAAATGCAGAGAAAGCAGAAGAAAAGAAATAATAAAGATTAGTGTGGAAATGAATGAAATAGAGAACAGAAAAAATACAGAGAAAAATCAACAAAACCAAAAGCTGGTTCTTTGAAAAGTTCAACAAAACAAATTCATCTTTGGCTAGGCTGACAAAAACGAAGAGAGAGAAGACTTAAATTTCTAAAATCAGGAATGAAATAATTATCGCTACTCACCATATAAAAATAAAAAGGATTATAAGGGAACACTATACAAAACACTGTGTGCCAAAAAATTAGAGAATGTAGATGAAAGGGAAAAATTCCTACAAAGAAACAAACTACTGAAACTGACTCAAAAAAAGGGGGGGGGGGATTTCTCAATAGTAAAGAGACTGAATTAGTGACTTTAAAACTTGCCACAAAGAAAATCCCAGACCCAGATAACCACAGTGGTAATTTCTACCAAATGTTTGTAGAAGAATTACAAACTGTTCTTCACAAAATCTTCCAAATATTAGAATACAAAGGAATACTTCCAAATTGATTGTGGCCGGTATTACTCTAACACCAAAACCAGACAAAGATAATATAAGAAGATAAACTACAGGCCAATACCTCTTATAAATATAGATGCAAAAATTTTCAATAAAGTATTAGCAAACCAAATCCAGCAACACAGAAAAGGGATTACACACCATGACCAAAAGGGATTTATTCCCAAAATACAAGGGTGATTGAACATATACAAATCAATCAATTTAATATAACTTGTGTCTTAGTCTGTTTTTGCTGCTATAACAAAATATTTGAGACTGGGTAATTTATAAAGAATAGGAATTTATTTCTCACAGTTCTGGAGACTGGGAAGTTTAAGATTAAGGCACAGGCAGGTTTGCTGTATGATGAGGGCTTGGCCTCTTCTGAACTGTTCTTCACAAAATCTTCCAAATATTAGAATACAAAGGAATACTTCCAAATTGATTGTGGCTGGTATTACTCTAATACCAAAACCAGACAAAGATAATATAAGAAGATAAACTACAGGCCAATACCTCTTATAAATA